AGTACTATAACTCCAAACAATAAAATAATAACACCAGGTAGTATAATAACTACTAATTAATTCACACTAGAATTAATCCTCAATAATAATAAAATTTATACCTTATAAAATGTAAGTGCTGTCAATAATTATTCAAAATTCCAATCAAGATGTAAGTTTCCACAACAGATATTACTTTTCAAGATGGATTATGCCTTTCTGGGTATTGAACTTTCCAAGAGCAATGTGGGTTTCCAGGATAATTTTTGGATTTCTGGGAATAATATTTTGGCTTTCCGGGTATGATTTTTGGCTTTCTGCCAGAAGGCACCAAAATGTTACAATGCTATAGCCTTCTATCAACAATATAGCAAAGTAACAAAGTCACTCACTGTAGAAAAACCTATGTTAGGAATATACAGGGAGTGGAGTAAAGTATTCACTATACTTTACAACAGTAGGCAAACGGTTCGGGATAGTAACAGTATATTATATACTTTATTTAAACACAAATGTCATAGTGATAACCTTGCCTGTAGGATTTATCCTAGAGGGGGAATATCACACTATACAGATATAAGAAGGGTAGGATAGTATAAAGCTAGATTCTATAAGAGGATAAGGAAACTCTCTAACTTGAGTAGAAGGGGCAAAGCCTCTTTTTTTTATAGCTTTTCTATATATAAGAGGTGTAATGGCTAAACCATATAAAAGGTATAAAAGGTATAAAAAGTACAAAAGGTATAAAAGGTATAAAAGATACAAAAGGTATAGAAGGTATAAAAGGTACAAAAGGTATAAAAGGTATAAAAGGTATAAAAGGTATAATAGGTATAAAAGATATAAAAAGTATAAAAGATACAAAAGGTATAAAAGGTATTATCTAGCTAACTAGTAGTCTGTTTGTCATGTATTATAGCTTGTTTTGATCGTTACAATCTTCTAAATCTAATGGAAATAAAATCTCTAATACATTCTATAATGTTAACACGTTCTATAACACTATGATGCAGAAAAAATGCTGCATTTAATATGTATCTCTCTCAATTATACTTTTGCTAAGTTTAGCCTAGCAAATGAGATTGGCAACTTCTTTCCAGTATATTTCGACTTAACACTCTATAATGTGAGGAAATACTACATTTACTGTGTGCCTCTTTCAATCAATGTTTAAAAAGTTAGTGTCATGCTCCTGCTAAGTTCAGCTTAGCAAATGAGATTGGCAATCTCTTTCCAGAGTGTTTTGTTGATTCTAGCTACTTTTTTTTTTTTAAAAAAAAAAGCACTGTTGCTTTAATTATTTAAATCTTTGTTTAAAGGTTTTTTCATACTACAACTGATCTTGGAATCAGGTTCATGTCATTTGCTCAACAACCATTTTTCTGACAATATTTTCTCAACAACCACTTCCCTTAATACCTGTTAACAACTTTGATATACAGTATCAATGAGAAGCAATAAGAAAGAAAAAGCTAAACAGAGATGAATTATTTGCATTAGACGATATTTATTTACCAAGTTTTTTTTTTATCACAGAGATTTAACTTAACCAATCATCACTGAAACACATGTTATTGAAGTGCTAATTTTGATTCGACATAAATTTAGCCAATCGTATGAATTTCTTAACACAAATGACAGATTACTTGAGTCACTTTTAAGTAACCCGATTAACAATGTGAGTAAAAAATTTTATGCGAAAAAATTGTAATAATCTCGTTAATAATGTAAAGGCCAAATGATATAGATATTAAATAAAAATAAAGTTAGTGTTCTGAAACAGTTTCATACAACACACGAATTCTCAGTGAACAATCCGTACACCCAATAATATCAGCACCCTGATCCATATTTTCTTCAGTAATTATATATAAACCACCGCAACGACATCGTATTGAATAGGAATTTGTCTCTAATTATTTTCAAAGAGTTGTTATTTTTAAAAAATAATGAACGTGGTGGATATTTGCACAAATAGTCAACGAACTGCACCTTGATTATATTCCATATCATCTAGATCAATTTCCGAATTAAATAATCCATCGTGTCTAAGTTTTGTGGCTTTTAAAGAGTTGGTTTTTTTTTCTTTTCGTTTACAATGATTTTATTTTTGAATAAAAGAAAAAAGATTATACCTTTTAGTTCTTTATCATAAACTTTTCGTAATTCTGGATCTTTTAAAATATTCCATGCTTCAATAATCTGATTTACTTTTTCGCTTTTATTCGTGACTTCGGAATTTATTAAAGAACGTTGAGATTTATCTGGGTGATGCTTTTTTTTTTTGAGTTTAATCTAGGTCTCATTATTCTTAACTAAGTTCCGTCCGTTATTTTACTAAAAAAAAGAACCTCCTTACAATAAGTAACAATTTTTGATATTGTTGTTTTATTTCTTCATGTGTTGCTGTTTCGGGTATTTCAAGAATTTCATAATACGATAAGTTCATGATATGTATAAAAACTAACGTATAAATTATTCAGGAAACGGCTGTACACGTACAAATTAATACAAATTAATACAAACTAATACAAATTTAGTTTTTCTAAGAGCAAAATTCACGTGATACTCAATAAAAGTTACTCGTTACGATAAAAGTTTAGTAAAGAACAGTATATAAAAACCCTCTCGATATAGTGAATTTACTCCCCGATATAGTAAAGAAAATTTCACAGTCCGATCACTTTCACTATAACGAGTGACTTTAATATGAGTGCCGCCAAGGAATTCTTCATTTTCAGAAATTTCCCTGATGAATTATAAACTTTATAATTAATCAAATTATCCATTTATGATATATATCAGTGCCGGAACTATATCAATGTTGGCCATTTGGTTGGCAAAATTAAAATTATGTGGCTTATTATTATTAAAAAATTTTTTACCTTTTTTTATGACCGGTACCGTAGTGTTACAAATCGGACCAAAAAATGCAATCGATTATAGCCAACTAATCGATTAATCGATTAGTCAATTGATCGATTAGTTGGTACAGTCAGACCTCCCTAAATGCAACCCCTCTAAATGCAACCCCTCTCTAAATGCACGATAGACCCCATAATGGGACTTATAGATAAATGCACGTTCTTTATTCTGCAATTGCACGCTAATTGTCTGGCCCACTTATATAAACTCCCTCCATGAATGCAACCGCGTGATTATTAGCCAATCAAATTCATCATTTCTAGGCTACTAAAGCTATATTTATTACATGAAAATAGTAACATTATGATTTTATTAGTGTTCTCCAATTGCAACCCTCTCTAAATGCACGCTCCAGAGCTGGTCCCGACGACGTGCATTTAGGGAGGTCTGACTGTATATCGAAATGGCTTGGATATATAATTACGTAGCCATTAATTACAAGATCAGAGTATGATACCATATAAAACAACTAGTCTATCAATCGATTAGTTGACAATTCGATTAATTAATTAATCGATCGATTTTCGATTTGGAACACTACCGGTACCAAATTTGCCACTACAATAGACAATCATATGAAACAACATTTTTCGAAATACTGTTCTAATTTACACAGAATAGATTTCAAAGTAATAAATTGATGACTTTATAATTGTCAATTTGTTTTATTTTTTTGAAAAAATAAAAAGTTCTAATAATTACATATATAAAGTAAACACTAAAATTTTTACTATTTTAATAGTTCCTTTAAAAATTTTTTTAAAGTTAAAATTTGTTATATAATATACTATTACTTTTGATTACAGGATTAGATGATTATGATATTTGCTAAAACGCGAGAATGAAATTTTTGAGTAGATCACACCAAAAAGAGTAAACGCGACAAGTTTTTTGGCCGCGAACTAATAAGAACCTGCTAAAAAAAGAATTCAAGTTACAGTTTTTTAATATGATATTTACTAAGTACAAATCTATACCCATTTTTTAATGAGACGATTCACGGGATCCGATATCGTTAAAGTTTTGTTATTGTACGGGTCTTATGTGACAACCCGTGCTTTTTTCATTTACTTATTGGCACGGGATTGTTACGTCAGACACCGTACAATAAGATAGTTATTGTATGGTATGTTGAATAACCCAGTTACACACACGGGTTCATATTTAATCCCGTGCCTTCGGCACGGAATATGAACCCGTGTGTAACTGGGTTATTCATTACATACCCATACAATAACTATAATTTATCCGACACATCCTATGTGATCACTTGTGCTCACTGAATGATTTCCGTGTAACTTATTCGGTCATTTCCTAATACAATACAGCAATACGAGGTTACACGGAAATCGCTTAGTGCTTACGTCAGACATGTCGTAGATGAATAATCAGTTATCATCTACGACACGACTAATAACTATTACTTATATCGAGTATTTTAGAATTATTAAACGTCTCATTGAGACGGTCAGCTTAGTGGTAAAATTATTTAAAACGGACTAACGTTATTCATTGTTAAATAATTTGTATTTTAAATGACAAAAATAACAAATGACATGTCATTTGTCATTAAAATTTTAAATGAAATTTTTATTTGCCAACCCTGTTCGGACTAGAAAATACATTATATCAGATATATAATTATAACATTCAAATTATAGCATGTGTAAGAATAGAAAAATAAGTTTTTGCGATAGCATAAATGTTTATTACATTAATTTTTACTATTGTCACTACTATTTACCAACGTATGACCCATTATACATTTTGTTGCAAGAATTCCTCGAACTGAAATCTGTCTTTCGGTTGGAACTCGTTCCCAATCCAGATTTACATATCGTGGATCCGGAAACCCCCCTCCGAGGTTTTTATCAGACGCAAGCATAATAAACAAATCATCATAGCATTGTCCTGCAATTGTAACTTTCTCAACTTTTAAGAAATAATATCGATCTTCGTAAATACTGCGTGCGATTACTTTCACTATAACAATGGCTCCTCGATCTTGAAGTAGTATTGGTGTTGGTTTTACTATAATAAAAATATATGATCCATCAAAACTCCAATCATGTTCTGTGTTTTTATTTTTATTACGACTAGGTGGTGGATAGTTACGACGCAATGTATTAATTGCATCTTCACCGAAGAAAACTCCTACATATTGAATTTTTCGAGCAAGTGCTACGCGTGATACTCGCAAAATTGGTGCTGGTCCTGGCGCGTTATTGATATATGCGTTATGATCTCTCAACAATGCTAAGACAAATTCCCATTCTTTAAATGGTTCAAGGAAACATACGTCAAAACGCAATTCTATAAAATGAGTTTGAGCCACTCGTCCTGTACCCTTTAATTTATTTTCTAGGAACGCGGTAAACATTGGCGAAGAACTTAAGGAATCTTCCCATACATTTACTGACTTAATGGAAGGATGTTGCAACAGCAGAGTTCCTATGAACTGTTCCTTGAATTGATTTATATTTTGAGCGATGTACATTTTTGTTTTATATTCTTTTAGCATATTATACCTCTGTGACCCTATCTTACTGACAATCGCCGGTTTATAATAAAATTGCCAATCAAGTATATCTCTATCTGGTACAAAACCTATTACGTCAAAAATTAACCCTTTTTTTTCTATCATATGAGTGATTACTTGGTGAAATTCGGAATGTTTACGTCCACTTAATAATATATTTAAAGAGCCTTGTTCTTTCATCGATTCACGCGCATGACCAACTCCTTCAGAATTCCACCAATTTTTCCAGCCATAAAGTGCGGCCTCCTCACCAAGATCTAAAGATCTTTTATCTTGATACCAATTTTTGAGTAAACCATTTTCATGAGTAAGTAATTTTATGAATTCCTTATTCCATAATTGTGGATTTGGTTGAGGCGACTTGAAAAGCGTTCCATCGAAATCGAATACGTTTAATCTTATTGGTCCGCGAGTTGAAGACATGAACGTGAAAAAGCTCAGACAAGTGAATTCGTGTCAAATACCTGCCCATCGAAGCTTCAAATTTTCCGCGCGCATCCAATCAAACTGCAGAATCATGTGTAACAGATAACATATATCAGATATATCGTATATATAATATTTTATATATATACAGTATTTAATTGCGGATCTTTAATTCTTTTTGCGACCTATATAACATATATATCTGATACACCTGATCTGAATACGTGTGAGTTCAACAGTGTTCAACAACGCGACTAACTTCAACTAGAGAATAAAATTTCTACTCCGGGTAACCCACCCGTATAACAAATTCTTAACCGGATAACAACCCGGTTAACTCGAATAATC